GACTCGCTGTCTTTCTTCTGTGGTTAGAAGTGCCTGGAGGAGTTGCTGACACTCCTCCCAAGTGGGTTGGTGGGTGAGAATAGACTCTATTAAAGCAGTTAGAGCCTGAGAATCCTGAGAAAAAGAGGGGTTATGAGTCTTTTAATTATACAACTCAGAGGCTGAAAAAGGCCAGTACTGGATCTGATCCCCTATAGTTCAGAGGGGAAAAACCTGGGCAGTCCAGGTTCCACCAGAAGGACCCCCTCTATCTCTTGTCAGCCAAAGTCTGCTAGATGGAGGGGGAGATTGGTCAGGTTTGGTGGAATCAGGAGAGGGATGAGGTAGTTCTTGGGGTGGGGGTGCCTGCGCAGGTGGATAGGGAGGTGGAGGATCAAGGAGGGTTAGGGAAGCTTGGTCCTCGGGGAGGACTGGCTTTTGCTTTTTCTTTTCAGGGGCAGACAAGAGGGGCAGGAGGGAAGAAGTAAGACTCAGGGGAGCAGAAGGGACAGGAGACCCCTGGTCAGTCTCTTCAGTTCCCCTAGGGTAGGAACGGAAGGGACAGGAGACCCCTGGTCAGTCTCTTCAGTTCCCCTAGGAGGTAGGAATGGCTGTGGGGTTCTGGGCCAAGTCTTTCCAGGTGACTATGTAGGCCACCTGGTCTGGATGTCCGTGTGGTCTTGGGTGGAAAATGTATTCCTTAACCTGCAAGATAGTAGCAAGGTTAAAAGTCCCATCCCTTGGCCATCTTTTTTCAAAAGAGGGCCATGCAGAAAAACAGAGACTCTGCCACTTCTTCTTCTGGACCACCAATGATAAGTTGTGGGCCCTCTCCACGACCTCCTTTTAGTGTTCCAGAGTTAAGCTTAAAGGGGTAGTTAGCAATTAACCCATAGTGGAGGTCACAGACAGGAGAGGTGGAGAGTAAGAAGGAAAGAAAGAAAATGAGAATATGCCACTCCAAATAATAATGACCAGTGGGTGTGCTTATGAACGAGTACCTAACATTGCCCAGTTTTTCTTCTGTGGGGGACGTGAATTTATCTGGGATTCACGCCTGGGACCCCCTTATCCTTTCACGGGAGTCTTTTAGTGGCGAGCTCCCTATGGCTCTTATTTGCTCGACCCGTGCCTGCGGGGCTTTTTCAGTGGCCAGAGAGAGAGGAACGGAGAGGAGAGGGAGATACAGAAAAGCCGTCTTGTCTCCACCTGTGCGGGCAGTCAGGATCCGCTAAGAGGGCTAAG